TCAACTATGAGTCATTTCCAACTTCATGGCACACGAAAACAACGACAAATATGTCATAGCGTCGTGAGTAAGAACTAGATTGACAATGACCAACAACAGTTGCTCAAATGAGAAAAATGTGATTGAAGAGTTGGCTGGTTCAAGTCTCTCCTTGAAGTTGATTATGAGAGATTGCTTTTGGGAAGGTACATTTTCATGGTCACTGGCCAGAGTCCACCTTGTCAGTTATGATCTGTGTTCTAACTCTTATGTTTTTTAAAAATAAGGGAGCTGGAGAAGACGTTTTTTATCACCATGTAGCATTGGAACCGTGCAGTGTTTCCTTTCTCTATTCTGATGACTGCTTCCTAGTCCGGGTATTGGTTTTGCATGAATATATCAGATGTTCTGAGATTCCCATTCTTCTCAGTGTTTGCCATAATTCATTATTATCCACATAGTCAAATGCCCTTGTATTATCAAGGAAACATAGATAGACATTTCTCTTATGCTGTCTCCTTTCAGCCAGGATCCATCTGACATTGGCTATAATGTCTCTACTGCCACACCCTCTTCTAAACCCAGCTTCTGTTTCTGGTACTTCTCTGTTGATGTTCTGTTCCAGTCACTTTTGGATAATCATCAACAGAATTTTGCTTGCATATAATATTAGTGATATCGTTCAATAATTGCCATACTCTAGTGGATTCCCCTTTTTTTGAATGGAAAGAAATATGGGTATCTTCAAGGCAGTAGGTCAGGTATTTGTCCTCAAGATTTCTTGGTACAACTTGGTGAGCATGTCCCGGGTTGCTGAAATATGTCAATTGGTATACCATCAATTCCTGGGGGCTTGGTTTTTTCCCCAGTTCCTTCAGCAAAGGTTGAACTTCCTCCATCATCACCATTGCCTCTTGATCATATGTTATTTTATGAAATTCTTATGCATCAGCCATTTCTTTTTGTTAAAATGACTCTGTGTACCACCTTCCATCTTCATTATTCTGCCTGTAACATCATTAAGTATTGCAATTTGAGGCTTGAATTTGTTCTTCAGTTTCTTCAGCACAAGAACTGCCAAGCAAGTTCATCCCTTTTGATTTTCTGATTCCAGCTCTTTGTACTTTTCATTATAATACTTTATTTTGTCTTTCCAACCCTGCATAGTTCAAAATCAGGAAAAGAATGTGTCAGGGATGTGTCTTCTCTCCGTATGTTTTCAATCTATATGCAGAACAGATCATTTGAGAGACTAGACTGGATGAGGTGGAATGTGGCATCAGGATTAGAGGAAGACTCATCAACAACCTATGTTATGCAGATGGCACAACCTTGCTTTTTGAAATTGAGGAGGACCTGTGGCGTTTACTGCAGAAAGATGAGGACTGCAGTCTTCAGTATGAATTAAAACTCAACACCAAGAAGACAGATCTCATCACTGAGCCAACTGGCAGCACCATGATAGATGGAGAAGAGATAGAGATTATTAACAATTTTAGCTTGGTGATTCCACAATCAATAATCTTGGCACGAGTATCCAGGAAATCAAAAGACAAATTGCAGTAGGAAAATATGTTGTCAGGGACCTCTCTAGAGTACTGAAGAGCAGTGATGTCAGTATCTAAGGTGCATCTTCTTCAGGCCTTAAACTTTACAATGCCTTTGGATTGTGGTATTGATGTGAAGGGTTTGAATATACCATGGATTGCCAAAAGAACAAATAAATCTGTCTTGAAGGAATTATAACCAGAATACTCTTTAGAGCCAAAGATTGTGAAACTTCATCTCTCTTAATAGCAGAAAATGAAACATGGGGTCACAGGGCTACGAGTATCTCTCTGAAAGGGTCAGAGGAAGTAAGTATAGCATAGGTCCTCACTGCCCCAAAATAGAAGGCAGAAAAAGAGCCTGTAGCCCAGCCACATGGAGCCTCTAAAGCCACACCAGAAGCAAGAAGTCCATCTGTTCATTGTTGACTCACAAAGTTTACTCAGTTACCAAGAATGGGGTTTAATAGGGAAATAAGTTGGATGGTTGGATGGCAAAGATATCATCCAGTGCAAATCGAGGTTTAACCCAGCAGTCCCAAGGCAAAATTTCTCAGTCCAGGATCTGATTTCAGTTCAGCAGTAAAATCTAAATCATCTAGCAGTTATAAGTCATCTTCTCCTTAATTATCTGATAAGCATAGCAAAACCTTTAACTGTTACGTTTATCTCAGGATTCCTCTGATTATACCTTGTCACAGTTTCTCTACAGCAGTGCCCTAGTCTCTCCAGCACCATCGCCAGGATCTTGCCACCAGATCTCGCTCTCACCTGGGTTTTGCCATAGTCTCCCTCAAGTCTTGCTGCTCAGTGTGGGAAGTATTCTCTCTCTTATCTGACTCCCACGGCTGTTGATAATTTACAAGACCTAGCTGTTGTAGTTAAGGTAGCTGGAGACCAGAGAGGCTTAACATAATGGCTAAAAAAAGTCAAGGCTAACACCACATTTATCTTAAGCATAATCTTAGGAGGAACCAGTTCTTGGAAAGAGACATCAAGCTAGGAAGTTGGAAAGTCAGAGAGAAATATGTTCAACAGGGTTAATTGACACAGTGACCACCATAATGGGCTTGAGTATGGCAGAATGTGAGGATGATGCAGTATAGGGCAGAGTTCAGATCTATTGTTCATAGGGTCACTATGAGTTGTATTTTTTTTGTTGTGTTTTTTAAATAATTTAGCAGATGCATTTTTAAATTGGAATTTATGACCCCTGGGCTTAATAACTCTTAAGTTTTGGAGAATTCTCACCTAAAATTTTGTTTAAAACTTTTGTTGTTGTTGTATAAAGAAAAAGCTTTATTTTTTATTTCTAGATTTGTTTTACAACCACATATACCACTTTGATAGTTGTCCCTCAAAACTCTATTGATTTTTTTGCCTCTACCTGATTATGAAAGGCATTATTATTAGATATAAAATTATATAAAATTAATTCTGTCTTTAGATCTCTGTAGTTTTATGTGTTGTCATTCTAGATGTCTCATTCATTTACAGTTTGATCCTGTTTAACAGGTGATAACACATCAGTAATATTTTTAGTAGTATTTTTGTTGCTAGGGAACTTTGATGGCCTAGTGGCAAGAAGCTGTGCTAAAATCCTTAAGGCAAGTGGTTCAAGGCCATCAGCTGCTCCACGGGAGAAGGATGGGCAGTCTCCTCCTGTGCAATTAACTGCCTTTCTTTTTTTTTTTTTTAATTAAATTTTATTAGTCTTAATGAACATTTACAGAGATTTTGGGTTTTCATTCATTCATTGTTGCACTGTTTTCTCCACCCTCATCCCCAGTTCGTTCTTGTCCCCCCACCCCCGTGTCTATTTTAATTGTCCAATTGCCACAGTGCTTGTCAAAGCCAGTTCTGATTAATCTCCTTTGTCAGTGTGTCCCTTG